CTGCTGATCTTCCTCTTCTTTTGCTTCCAATATCAGGTACACAACTGACACGCTGGTTACTGTAAACTGAAACATGAAGCATGAATATGAAATGAAGAGTTGAAGTTCTGAATTTATCTTAGTTATATTCTGAATTTTATTTGTATATGTACATTATTTAGCTTCCTAATATCAGAATCATGTACATGTTTAATATATATATAATGGAACATCTGACAGTAGCTTAGTGGACGAAATGTCTATGTATTGCTAAAAATAAATAAACGGTGTAGTAACTCTGTCCAGTTAGTTCGTTATTGTTTGATGATTATCATGTCTCAAAAAAATATGTTAGCTGATTTAGACTATTCTTAAACATTCAACAGTTAGCTCATTAAACGAATAAACCGTTTCGAAACTTGTAGGAATATTGTTTAGCTAGATACTGTTGGTTAATTTCAGCATGTAAATGGTTTAGGATTAAAATTAGATTGCCAAGTTTTTTTTAATTTGACAAACTGTGAGCATGCATAGTATAATGTAACTAAGTAGTAACATGTGAATGAGATGACCCAGGTCCAGTTTTGTGCTATACACGTTGGGCCTGGGTCCACGTTGGCCAATGGGCTGTCCATATTATGTTTACATTCTGATTTAACAAATTGCGTTCGGAACCCGACTATAACAACTCGTAAGCATGTAAATAAATTAGGACCCTTTCTCTTTCATTTTTTAGAGACAAATTTAATAGAAAAAAATGTAGGCACTTTAGGATTATCCTTTTAAAATAAATGAGATGAGCCTCGCCCAATAAAACGCACAAATTGTGGGGCCCTCGATAAATGTTTAATTGAATACTTAGACTTCGGGATGGGCCGTTTAGCCAATTTCACGGCCTTCCCCAAAATAATAAAGTGTTAGACTCTTTAGGCACGATTTTAATAATATTACATCACTAAACTCGGGTGCGCATTTATGCGACCCAAATCCAAATCTCAACGGAGTCAAAATGTGTCAACAACCACGGGTGCATTGATTGCGACGTGGTTTGAAACGCAGTTTTACGACGTTGCAATTCTATTAAAAATAATAATAAAAGCGGTTTAAAGTTGATAAACGCACATAAATTATAATATGTATTAAAATCAGATATTTAGCCATTACAACAGTTTAAGCGATCGTGCTAGAACCACGGGATTCGGGGGTGCCTAACACCTTTCCTCGGGTCAACAGAATTCCTTACTTAGAATTTCTGGTTCACAGACTTCATTTGGAAAGTCGAATATTTTCCTCGATTCGGGATTCAACTGGTGACTTGGGACACCATAAATCTCTCAAGAGGCGACTCTGAAATAAATAAATAAATCCCGTTTCGATTGTCTTTTAATTGGAAAAAACTCCCTTCCGCGCCCATTTCGCGGCGGCGCGGGCGAAAAAGGAGGTGTGACAGTAAGCTTTAGAAACCGTTGTCATGTTAGCAAACGCTGCAGTCTGCCACTCCATTCATCTCGAATTTATAACAATGGGGATATCTATAACTGTAAATTTTTCTATGTAATTGAAGAATTGGCGAATGATCAATCGATCAGTGAAGAATAATTTAGGTTTGGATTTTGATTTGTGCTTGTTGAATCTCAAAGTTTTTGAATTCAATTGAGGGGATGAGATGAAAGAGCAGTGTATTTGAAAAGAAAGTTGGGACTGAAATTTGCGGGCAGTTCTGATATAAGAAATATAACGATCGCCTTTACAATGGGCGACTTAAGAGGGTATATGAGGCAACCTTTACAATATGCGACTTAAGAGGGTAGTTTGTCAATTAGAAGAAATATGAGGGTCGCCTTTAGGATAAGCGACTCTACATGCGGATGCTGGAGGAATTTGAGAGGGTAATTTTGTCTTTTAAAAGAAATATAAGAGTCGCCTTTATGATCCGCGACTTAGAATTAGGAGTGTACAAATCGAACCGGAAAACTGCACCAAACCGAAAAGCCAAACCAAACCGATTTAAAAACCCGACTAGATTTGATTTGGTATTGAATAAAAAAATTGAACCAAACCGACATATAAATATATAATTTTTATATATACTTTTAAGCTTTTTCATAGATTTTTCTTTAAAAATGTGTAAAAATATTTGCGATTCTCTTATGGGATGTTTTAGCTAAATATGAAGTGCTCTATTTTTATTAACTTTAAATAATGGGTAATGAGTTGTATGATCACTTTCTTATCAAGTATGAGTGAATTGCGTCAATCTCTTTGTTCTTTCATATTCATATGTCAAAATCTATTAAATTTTTATATCCTTTTCGAATTTGAAGTGGTATTTCGATAATTTAAAATTAAATAGAACATAGTATTATATAGGTAGCATATTGATTTTATATTTAGTTATTAAATTCAGTTAACCTTGAAAATGTACATCAACGAAAATTTATTGTAAGACGACTAAAAAATAACTATTATATATTACTACAAAAATTCTCCCATAAGAATATGTTAATAGATCATATGTTTGTTCATTTTTTTTAATTTTTACTAAACATAAATCTACTTATTAAAATCTTTAACAAAGTAAAATTGAAATAATATTCATATAACAAAAAAACCCGACAAAATCGAACCAATCCAAACCCGATAAAGTTGGTTTAGTTTTGATAAAAGTCGAACAATCCGATCCATGTACAATCCTACTTAGAATTCTAGACGAAAATGATCCCTTATGTTTGAGGTTAGGATCAAAATAATCCCTTAAATACGAACTAATTAATTTTAGTCTTTTAAATTTGCTAAAAGTTTAACATTTTTGATTTCTATCAAATATTTACTGCCAAATACTTTCCCAAGATTATAATATTACCCGATAACCAAACGACACTAGGATATTTATAACCTGTTTGGCCAAGCTTCTCAAATCCTATTTTTTTTTCAAAGTTGAAGTGCTTGACCAAGCTTTTGAAAGTAAAAAAAGTTCTTTTGAGGAAAAGCAGCAACAGAAGCGCAGAAGCAAAAAAAGTAGTTTTTCTCCGAAAGCATTTTTGAGAAAAAATACACTTAGAAGTCGTTTTTAAAAGTTTGACCAAATACTAATTGTTGCTCAGAAACACTTTTCAAATTAATTAGCCAAACTGCTTTCATCAGAAATATTTTTGAGAAAATTACTTCTAAAAAAACACTTCTCAAAATAAGATAATTTTTGCAGCTTGGTCAAACGACGTATTAATTTCTTCATTTACTATAGATCCAAAATAGTTAGATCACTCAACACAATAAAAGGTTAGTGAACAAACAGAAAAACTTAAAGGACAAAAGAGGAAAAACACATGAGATTATATACAAGCACAACACAATAATCTGCGCGAAATTACATTACAAATAAAATCAAGAGAGCTCCTGGGTAATAATCTACCCACCACTCTATGTTTCGAAGCTCATGTAATAATCAACCAGCTCGAGAAGACACACAGAGTCATATACATGTTCGCTCAGTTCTTTACAGAATTTGAATTTTTCCAAATTGAAAGCTCTGATATATGCTTCTTCTTCGCTATAAAGAACCCTAGGGTTTTGTTATTTATTGGTTGAGTTTGAGGCGAAATTGAATGGCGAGTGTGTACATTCCAGTACAAAATTCCGAGGAGGAAGTTAGGGTATCATTGGACCAACTCCCAAGGGATGCTTCTGACATTCTTGACATTCTCAAGGCTGAACAAGCTCCTCTTGATCTCTGGCTTATTATCGCTGTACGTTCAATTCTCTCTCTCACCCACTTATGAAATTGTTAGGGTTGAAATTTCACATGTAGGAAATTTATTTTGCTTTGTGTATTATCAGCTCACTTTTGTTTGACCTTTTGTTGCAATGTTCAATTTAGTGGCATGCGAATTTTTGTTGCATTAAATAGAATTTGTGCTTGAACATTTATGTTGTAGAGGGGATAAAAGCAGTTTTACAAAATTTAAATAGAAAACTTGCATGGNCCCTCCCCCCCTCCATCTATGATGGATTTTGCAGAGGGAATATTTTAAACAAGGGAAAATCGATCAGTTTCGACAAATATTGGAAGAAGGTTCTAGTCCAGGTACTTATGACACGTTTAAGTGCATCAAATGGGTATTTGTCCATTCTTATTGAGAAGTCAGAGAATTTAAAGTTGCTGTCTTTCTTTCTTTAAAAAGACTAATTCCTATTACACATTGTTATGGTGCAGAGATTGATGAATATTATGCAGACGTGAGGTATGAGAGGATCGCCATTCTAAATGCATTGGGTGCATATTATAGTTATCTTGGGAAGATTGAGACGAAACAAAGAGAAAAAGAGGAGCACTTTATTATGGCAACTCAATATTATAATAAAGCATCTAGAATTGACATGCACGAGCCCTCTACTTGGGTTGGAAAAGGTGATCATTATTTCATTTCTTTAGTATAAATATTACTGCTTGAAACAAGTAATTTGATGCCTTTTTGCGGTTGAATTTAAAATCATTTTGCTGATGCAATAGAATGACTGTAAGCTTCTTCTGAGAGGGTAAATCTGTAAGTTGTCATGGACGGCCAATCTAGGTTTATTTTCATTGTTGATCACCTTACTGTCTTGTTATTTATATTCTGCTTTTATATTGCTTTTTGGTACTATCCTTTCTTGTCTATATTTTCATTATTGTGGTGCTTATGCTTTCCTGAGCCGAGGGTCTATTGGAAACAACCTCTCTATCCTCACAAGGTCGGGGTAAGGTCTGCGTACACACTACCCTCCCCAGACCCCACGGTGTATAATACTGGGTATGTTGTTGTTGTATTGCAACAAGTCTGTGGACCGATGTTGAGTTACCCGTATGCATTTAGTTGACACCTGCAACAGGTAGGATATTCTTTGTCAAGGCTTTAAAAGATAAAATTTTAAAGAGATGTGATAATTTTGCCTAATCATTTGGTTAAGTCTACAGTATGTGCCCGGGGCTGAATGGATGTTATTTCACCAGTTTTTCAAACTTCTGTTTTTTCCCCAGTTATTCACATTGGAAAAAGGGTTGCGTAAAATTACTAAAAACAAATAGGTTATGCCATGTTAGTTTGCTTCATTGACTACTGGATCTTATACTGTTTCTTGAGTTTCTCAAGAGGGTTTTCAAACATCTGAAGTTTCCCGTTGCTATTCACTTTGGGAAAAGGGTTCCTAGACTTATTAGGAACTTATAGGCTATGGCCAACCATATATGTTGAGTTTCTGACTAGTGCTTGAGGGATTATGCTTTTCATCATGCTTGTAATAAACACTACTTTGTCAACACTTTTCTAGAATATAAGGTTGTATTTTATTGTTAAGCTGGAATAAAAAGGTGTCATAGTACTCATGTAATTGTTGACCAGTTGGATGAGCATGCGCATCTGCTTTACAGGTCAGCTTTTACTTGCCAAGGGCGATATAGAGCAGGCATTTGCTGCTTTCAAGATTGTACTTGATGGAGATCGTGATAATGTTCCTGCTCTCCTGGGTCAGGTAAGCCTATTCCTTGCTTGTTTTCGTTTCAGAAACCTTTAGCATGTTAAAATTTTATTGGCGTTATGGAGTTAAGAACTGTCTTCTAAAAATGATGGTGGTTGGTCAGCTTTAAACATTTCAATATGCTCGGGAATGAAATTAATTTACTGTCCTAGAATTGTGACGTTGATGACCATGGTAACATGTGAAGGATAATTAACTGAAGAACTGCATCTATCAGCTGACGTAATTTTCGCTTCTTGTGCTCTGGTGCAAACCATTGTAACTATAGGCTAATTTCAAGTTTCAAAATCTTGTATTGACTCTCATAGCAACTGCCTTCTCCAATCTTTTGCAGGCCTGTGTTCAGTTTAGCCGTGGACGATATTCTGATTCACTGGAGCTATATAAGGTTCGACGTCCATCCATAACTTTATAGATGGGTTAATTTGTTGTCCTTGGATAGGAGAATGGGCGTAGCTACCCCTCTTCGCACCAAATGAAAAATAATCCAGTTGGGAGACATCAAAACTCATCTATCATGGAAAATGTTTTATAATTCTCTAAATATTGTTAGAAGAAGCGATATTGACTCTATGATGCCCTTTTGTGGCTCACATGTATTTGGTAGAGGGCCTTGCAAGTTTATCCAGAATGTCCTGCTGCGGTAAGGCTCGGAATAGGTCTCTGTCGATACAAGTTGGGCCAAGTGGAAAAGGCAAAGCAGGCTTTTCGTCGTGTATTGGAGGCAAGTCAAAGATTTTGTGTTAATAATTTTGTTACAATTCGTTGTATTATTTTTAACTGATATGACTTTCTTGTAACTACTTCTAAAACTGTAGTTAGACCCAGAGAATGTGGAGGCTCTGGTGGCACTAGCAATTCTGGATTTGCAAAACAATGATGGTCAGTTCTGTCCCTTAGATTGATGTGTGGAGTCTATATATGTGACTCTAATTTAATTCTGCACATTCCAGGCAGGAGATATAATTAAAAGTCAGAAGATATAATTAAAAGTCAGATTGCTGTAAAGCCTTGAAGGTGCAAAAGTGACCAATAAGATCAATTTTGCTTCTTCGGAGAAATTAGTTCTTACTCGCATATCTAGAAGAGTCATTGTGAAATACCTTATCTTGTTTAGAAAGCTCTGGTTGAGATTTCTCAGGGATTATAGTTTGTGCGAGTCTCCTGATTTTAATCATTTAAAAATAGAGTTTTTAACAGTATGATGTCTAATTTGGTATCAGCTCTTTATATACAGCGTCTGGTATTAGGAGAGGAATGGAAAAGATGCAAAGAGCTTTCGAGACATATCCCTACTGTGCAATGGCTCTAAATTATCTGGCCAATCATTTTTTCTTCACTGGTCAGCATTTTCTAGTGGAGCAATTGACTGAGACTGCACTTGCTGTAACCACACATGGGCCAACTAAGTCTCATTCGTACTACAATTTGGCACGCTCATACCACAGCAAGGTCTGAAGAAACAAAAACCTTTGATAGCATGATCCTTATTTATGATCCCCCTAAAGCTTCAATCTGATGATATTCATTTTGTTTCCCATGACTGAAGGGTGACTATGAGAAAGCTGGAATGTACTACATGGCATCTGTAAAAGAAAGCAATAAGCCGCATGAATTTGTATTACCCTATTACGGTATGTTTTCTTTGTGTTGTCTGTCACTAAGTATTTGCTTTTATTTCTCTTTTCATGGTTTTCGTTGCTTTGAATTTCCATTTAGAAAATTGTAGTGATCCAAGGTTCATAAGTTTTAATCTATGGTAGATGGCGAAATGGCAAATGACTTTCTAAGTAGGTTTCTCTAATCGGCAGGTGTAGCGTGAAAAAATGAAAAAGAATAGATATAGGCAACTAAGGGTCATTTGGTTACCGGGATAGGGATACTAATCCGGGATAGAATATGCGATTGTACTTATCCCATGTTTTGTATTAGTTAATGGTGGGATAAATTTTTTACCAAAATGAGAGGATTAGCTATCCCATATAGAAGGTGGGATAGCTAATCCCATGGGATATCCCAGCCCATGGAATATCCTTGTCTATCCCACATATGAACCAAACGACCCTTAAAAGAATTGCCGCGCTTCTGGGCATCTTTCTTCCAAGTTGGTCCTGGGTGGCCTGAAACTGAAAAGTTGTCTCCTTATAACCACCTTGAGTCCCTATATGACTTAGATGATAAATTCATCAGATATTGGAGGATCATTAACATACCTGCCAAGAATGATTATTAAAAAAAGGTGCTTCAAATGACTAAAATTCCCTTGAGAGCACACGTCTTGCCTCCTCTGAAACGGGTTAATTGTGGTGGTTGGAGAATGCAACGTGCAACAAAAGGTTTCAGGCTTTCAATTGGGAAAGTAAAACTTGCTAACTAAATCGTGCTTTGATCTGTTTTACCATTTTGCTTGTCTAACTTAGGATTGGGACAAGTACAGCTGAAGTTGGGAGATCTTCGGAGTTCGCAGGCAAACTTTGAGAAAGTTTTGGAGGTTTACCCTGAAAGTTATGAGACAGTGAAAGTGAGTTGATACTTGATAGAGTATTTTGTTGGGAGGGAATATTGTCAACATTTAATTATTGTATAAAAAAACTTGATAAATTCTTATGTTCATTGTTTTCAGTTCTGACTATTTTCAACATTTTGTTTTTGTTCTTTGAATAGTTTATTTTTTGTTGTTCTAGGCTCTTGCACACATTTATGTGCAGCTTGGCCAGACAGAGAAAGCTCAGGAATACTTGAAGAAAGCCACTAAAATTGATCCTCGTGATCCCCAGGTCTTTTATTGTCACTTATTCTATATAATAGTTTCTAGAAGACCTTTGTAGGTGCAGGGAACTAAAAAGAGGGGAAAAAAGGCAAAATGAACAAATAAAAGATAGTTTCTGAAAAAAGGGCATGTGATGCGGATGCAATCCTTTTAGTCTCTTGAGTAAAAGAGAGTGGGAGTTTAAATTCTGTTAGTATATGATTTTAAAATGTCATACCACTGTCCTGCTGCTTATTGTTGATGAAATAAACTCATTGGCTCTTTTTATCGAAATTGTTTCTGTGCCACTCTATCTCCATGATTTTTGTTTTTTTCTTCATGTTACTGGCAATTAAAAACTGAAAAATCTTCTCTTTTGCATCTTAACAGTATCCTGATTTTCTATTCATGTACCAGATTTAGTGAGTTTGTTAACTTCTATTTACTCCAATATGTGTATGATAGTGACAACTTGATGTGATTGAGCTACATACTTTTTAAAGTGCTTAACGCCATGTTTGGTGTAATTCATGATATGACTTTGACTTCTTTAAAATGATGCGAACAAACTTGTCCAACCATGAAAACATCTTAATAATAGGTAACCTCTACTTTAGATGTTCAAGATGAGAATTTGAAACTTAGATACTCAATACTTATTATTAGGTTAAGATTATTTTTTGCGTATTCTCACTTCATAAGTAATTTTTTGAAGTTTATCTACTAGGGAAACTATTATTGAGAAGATATAATACAAAATAATTTAGACGATTTTAGGTCCCACAGGCGCAGACTGTAATTGTCAAAGGATATTGTTGGTTTGTCATTTTTACAGATCAACATTGATCACTTAATTTCTAAATCATGAGTTCAGTTTTTATTTGATTTGGTTCACTAGGTTAAGTCAGTTTACTACATTTAGTGGAACTGACATAAGGAGGGTGGAGTTCAGCTTTGAATGTATAAAAAAAAGGTCCAGTATTGAATTTAATTGAAGATTTGTCTTTCCTACGCTTTTCATGGATACTGGTAACTGATTAGGTTTTTCCCTATCCCTTTTCCAATATAGTGATTTATGATTGCTGACCTATGCTATTGTTCCATCTTATGTCACCAGATACAGAACTTTCAGCCATTTAAAATTAGACTGGGAGTTAGGATGGTACTACAGGGATTTCCCAACATTGATAAAACCATTTACTTCACAAAAAAATATTGGACTTAGGATGGCATGATATCTTGAGTCAGATACTGTTCTCTTCCTGAGATCTGCTTTATTTATCTTCTCATGCGTCTATGCAGGCCTTTTTGGATATAGGAGAACTGTTAATCTCAAATGATCCTGCTGCTGCTTTAGAAGCCTTTAAAACAGTAAGGGCCTCGAATATTTCCATTTATCTCTGTATATTTGCTCAGTTGACTTAGTTATGCTTTCAGAAGTAGAATGTACTTCTGGTTTCATGAAGGAGTGAAGGGGAGAACATCTGTTGTTTTGGAATTGATTTAGCAGATATAAGCTGGGTATTTTACTGATAAAAAAGGGTATTCTTGATGGAAACATCTACTAATTAAGCAGTCTTTCTGATCTTCAATACTTTGAGGACCCATCTCATTCTGTTTGACCTCTGTCTCTCTCTCTAAGTTCTATTTTAGCTGAAATGAAGAGTTTAAAATTATCTGCTCCATAATTTTCCGCCTTCCAAAACTTGTAAGTTTGCTTAAATTTCATGCATCTTTCTTGTTTCTTTGTTCCTTCTTTTGGGTTGCAAGTCTACTATTCATTTTCATCTGTTCAAAAAATAAAAATCTAGTACGTACTTTCATTTTGCAGATGTTTTAGCTCTTACTTTACTCTAGTAGTAAGCTGTTGGAAATCTTATTTATCAAAAGAGTTGGTACTTGGTAGCTGGAAATACCTTTTGTCTGATTGAAGACATAGAGTTCCAAACAGCTTAGATGCAAATATGGCATGCTTTATATGTGAGTAGCTGGAGATTGAGCATATAGAATTGCTTTCTGCAGTTACTGCTTTGTGTAACATCAGTGTTTTAAATTTCTCTTGATGGTACTATGAACAGCTTAGGTGGATTAAGAAAACTGCACCAAAAAAATGATCATATTTGAAATTCATTAGATTTTAAGCTCTCTGAAAGAAGATTTTGGTATACATAACTAAGGTAAGACCTGATTAATTTTGCAGGCGCGGAATTTACTTAAGAAGTCAAATGAAGAAGTACCAATTGAGTTACTCAACAACATTGGCGTCCTCCATTTTGAAAGGGGAGAATTTGAGGTCTGTAAAGTTTCTTTTTGTCATCGATTTCAACCTGCTTGCATGTTTAGATAATATGCCATTCAATAATGGCATATTATCTAGATCGCTAACCTCTATTGATTAATGATTTCCAGCTTGCTGCACAAAGTTTCAAGGAAGCCCTAGGTGATGGTATATGGCTTAAATTCCTTGATGCTAAAGGACAGTCTGATGATCCAACTTCTGAAGGGCATTTATATTCCAATGGTGAAGCACGATCTGATATGTTTAAAAGTGCACAATATCCAATCAATGCCAGTGAATCTGTTCAGCAATACAAGGACTTCCAGCTGTTTCATAGACTTGAGGAACAAGGAATTTCTGTGGAACTTCCTTGGAATAAAGTTTCAACACTCTTTAACATGGCAAGATTACTGGAGCAGTTGCATGACACAGAAACTGCTAGCATCTTTTACCGCCTTATCTTATTTAAGGTATGCATACATGTCCAATTGATTATGAGCTGGCTTATTGGTAACTCCTAACATTGATGAAGCTCAGTTTTTGTTCTTGGTTGTTATATGATTAAGATGGTTAGACTTTTGAGAAGTACTGTCCTTCAATTTTCTCCCTATGCATTCATAGACTGTTATGTGGAAGGTCTGGGTATTTCAAAGGGGAAAAAATTGAAATAGTATGAGTTGCAAAGAGAAAAGACAAAGAAAAAACCCAATCTAATCTTGACTTTTAAAAGATTAAAAAAAGAAAAGAAATACATGAGCCGTCACATCAAGGTGAAAAGAACGTAAGATAGTATTACTCTATGTTGGTTTGAATGCTTAATTAATTATATGTGGTATATAGTACTTTTACATAGTTTTGATTTTTTTTTAAATTATAAAAATTATGATATGTAGTACTTTTACATAGTTTCTAAATTAGTTTTATTTTACAAACAGAAAGCAATGTTGGGTTCACATTGAAAATTAGATGAGATAATGCTTGTGCGTGGAATCCTGTTAGTCTTTTTGGAACAGAGGAAGCATTAATTTGAACTCCTTAAATTTGTGAATTATTTATAGCATCTATAATTGGTGTATAAAGTTGTTGACTGAAAGACTTATCCATTTATTTATCAAAACGATGTTAAATGAAAGATCAAAATTAAAGAATATGGATACGTTCATAGATTCAATAAATTTGATTGGTGGCCAATTTGATTATTTGGAAAAGAATAATTTATTTAATTTATTTAAATGGATGGAGATAAAAAGAATTTCATATTTTAAATTTGATAATCTTCATTATAAAATGTGTATCGTTTAACAATTTTTCACAGAAAATAATACGCCTACTAATTATTTAAAAATTCAATATTATTTTTTTGCAAGCTTATTGATAACCTATCCTCAACCAAAAATAGTAAAATAGTCACTGGCTTTTGGTTGTATCATTGCATAAATGTTTCTGAAATCCTATAAAAGATGTTATATACAAAGTGGTTGCATGAAGTCAAAAGTAATAAGAAGTAATGGTGGTGAAGGAGTAACTCCCCATCTCAATGGGAAGGGGAAAATTTTCAATTCTCAGCTGCTTCTTTAGCCACTACCTGTTACGCGGCGCCTTCCTGAGATTCCTTGGAAGGGCGACGTAAGGCTAAACAACTGATGTCAGTGCAGTTACTGTCCGCCAACTGAGGTCCCCTCCGTACGCTAGACGAGATTGTCAGTGCCGTACGGGAAAACCAATGTCAAGAGCAATTGAGAGAACAAAAATGAGAATTGAGAAAGAAAGAAAGCTTGATTGCATTAATGAAAGCTATTACAGAAAGGCAACGCGGTGTCGAGGGGGAGAGACACCGGTAGAGAGAATTGTTTGCTTGCTAGAAAGTTTTGAATGCTTGATCCCCCTAATAATGCTTAAAAAAAGAAACCAAAGCTACAAAACTAGACTTGACTAAGCTAGAGAAACATAATGGAATTACATGAAATAAAACTACTCTATATTTACAACGAAAAGGACTTAGTTTTCTACAAGGCAGAAACAGGTCCGTTGTCAGCAGCATTGTCTTTGGCATCACGGTCTGCGCGTGCGGCGTTGTCTGCGCGCACGGCGCTTTTGGCATCTGCTTGCGGCTGGGTGCTGGTGAGGGATATCGGTGGGGCGACAGAGGCACATGCGCTCTTGTCACTTGGCGCGGCCAAGACCACGGGGCCGTCCGTGGCGCTAGGCATTGGGAGGCTTGCTAGGACGCCACGGGGCACGCCCAAGGGGTCATGGGGCATGGCTGGAAAACTGCCCATGACATACCTTTTGCCAATGTAATCATGAATAAAGGTAGGGAATATCACAAATAGGAGGAGCATCCCTCTTGTCTTAATCGGAGCAAGTGCAGAAAGGAGAATGGTGGCTGGTTTTCCAGAGACATCAGAGAACAACTTTAGGGAGAGGGTGAGAAATTTATGTTGGTTACACTCTTCAAATCTCGGTTCTTCCACATTTAGATATGGGGATAAATTAAGGTAGATATGCAGATCTTTATAGCAACGGATACATCTGTTGTCTAAGTAATTATGTATAGCTTTCTGAAAAATTAGTAGTAGACTCATAATGGGCTATTTTACGACTTGAATCAATTAAGGCCTTTCGGAACTTGCTCAAACTTTCCCATTGAAACAAACTTGCTTGAACTTAATTAAACCGAAGAGTCACAGTCTTTTGATGCCCAATACAGATGGCTTTGTATAATTCTAGTGATGATGCCTCATTAGCTTTAAATAACACCATTGGAGGAGGATTTTGCTGTCCCAAAGTTAGTTAAATGATTTCCACTATTTGCAGCTTTAAAGCCAGTAAGATTAACATGAATATTGTTGTGGGGATATTATATAACTGTTGTATCTTTTTGCACTGTCTTTATTTCATCCTAAGCTATCCCGTATGACCTCTTTTCCTGAATTTCAGTATCCAGGTTATGTAGATGCTTATCTGCGGCTTGCTGCCATTGCAAAAGCTCGAAATAACGTGCAGCTAAGTATTGAGCTGGTTGTTATTTCTCCCCTTGTATCCTTATGTGCATACTATCCTCTGTGTATTCTCGCTACCCAGAAGCCTTCTTACAATAGATTTTCATTGATCACAGATTGGTGATGCAC